GCAACAAATGTACAAATGTGCTTGACACAATGGTTGGATGATGGATGGATTGTGATAAGAGTTGTATGAGCCCCCAATAAAATGATTTATAAAAAGAAAAAATGTGATATTTGTTATAACAACACTGTAGCTATGTTATGGAATAATTACATATTTTTATGTTTTTAACCTCATTCATAGCCAGAAATTCTGCTGCATTTTTAAAAAAGTAATAGTTTTCAATTATTTCTCTTGGATTGTCTAAGTAGATAATGATATCATTTTCATAAACTTCAATTTATCACTTCCTTTCTTAGATCTCTTATTTCATTTTCTTATTGTATAGGCATTAGAACAATTATTTCTTTATGAAATAGTAGCAATGACAGTAGGCATCCTTACCTTATTCCTAAATATACTGAAAGTACTTGTAAAGTTGGTGTTTGCTGTTAAGTATTAGGTGAGTTATCTTTATCACATTAAGTAAGATTCCCTGATAGAACTGACAACCCTAAACTCAATGCGTGGAGGTCCAGAATAATCACTGGCCGTGTGGCTGCTGTTTGTCCAAAATGAGAAGTGGTACATTAAGCAACTTTAATAAAGTGTATCCTGTAAAAAAAAGGAAATTTAGATGGACAGTTATATATTTTAACTTATGTATCTGGGTCAGCTTCTCCACAAGCTCACCAAATTGTTTATAAACTTTATACTTATTATGCATTTTTAAATGTTAGCTTATCAATTTACTCTTGATTAACAAGAATTACCGGTGTTGAACTATTAAAAGCACACAATGTCCAGTAAACTTTTTCAGAGCTTTCTTATAATTTCCCTTTTCTTTGGGTTTCAGTTTAGAAAGGAAAAAATTTACCAAGCAGAATTGCTGCTGTCAGAAAGAAATTTTTCTGAAATTGGATAAAAATACTGGAATTATGACTCTATTAATGTTTTGAATTCTCTTGACATTTTTTGTTCACAAGTTTATTGACTCTAGCTGGCTGAATAAGTACATCCTCCTCTAAAGGGTCAGCACAGAGCCAGGGTGACAGCAGGTGACTCTGTGGCATTGAAATGGGAGATAAACACAAGTGTATTATTTGTAGCATATTCAGAAAAAATGTCGGAGAGTTTAAACTGGAAAATACCGTCAGAGACAAAAGTGAATATGGAATATGAATAAATGTGTGATTATAAATTGTAATTTATTATATTTTTAGGACTATTAAAAAAATCTTGTCCTAATGGGTACATAAGCAAATGTGGCGAAGAAAGCTGATGGTGCCTGGCTATCAAAAAGGGGTCTTAAAGGCTTGAAGGTAATCAAGCGGCCAT